CAAGAGGACATCTGGTTCATCCCACTACCTCAAAGCATAATAAGTTCTTCATAACCTCTTTGTTATTGTCCAGCATGGGTGCAGAAAGCACTGAATTTCCACTAACATATCCATTTGGAGATATTTTAATGCTTCCAAGCCTAGCAAAATTCATGGAAAAAGTTGAAATTCCACCAAATCTCACCTAGGCTGAGTGTACATGTGCTTGTTGTGAATGCTTAACTGTACCTCCTGCAAAGGGAGATGCTAATCCTATCTGAACAGCCTGAATGTGGAATTAAATAGCACAGTAGGGCAATAGTGTGCCTGGTAGCAAACTGGTGCACACTTGCAAACAAAAGCCAAACAGCCCCAGTATTCTGATCTCAATGGCTCCTTCCAGAGTAGCTTACAATTCCACATATGGAGAATGTTGATGTATTTGTCAGCTGTCCCTTCAGTGTTTGTTATGCTGTACAACAACAAATATCTTCAAAATTTAGTATATAATTTTATATACTACGTATATACATGTTATATACTGCGTATATAACATTGGGCAAAACCAAGGGAATTCAGAATGCTCCTGTTTTGTTGGATGCTTTCAACAACAGTGAATGACATTTCTTTCCCACTATGTACCAATATGTACAAAGTGCAAACTGGTATAATGTTACCATCTGGACTTGTTGACAAATACAGCACTGTAAGGACTGTTTTGAGACTTTACTGGTTCTGGTAGCATGAAAAAAGATATAAAGAACAGCGAACTTACATTGGTTTAATTCTATTGTGACAAGCTGTAAGATTTGCTGGTGGAAGCCTCCTACTGGTTTCCTGGGCTATTAAGTATTAATTATGCCTCAGCTATTTTGATAAGTTCCTGGTAACCTGAGGATTATTGTGTAACATTATAAAAAGTGCTGCACACTGACTACAATGAGCATGAATTAGTTTGAATTAGGGTTGCTAAGGCATAAGGTATAAAACAGAGATTATCCTGAATTTAGCTTCAGCAGGTGGCAACTAGGTTTGTGCCTTTCAGCTATTATTACAAGCTCACATAGCCTTAAAAAGCCATCTCCAGTTGCACTCTGTGCCACAGTATTAGAAACAACTACGCATTAGTTCTGAGACAAAGAAAGGATTCTGATATGTGTATGATGTATAAAAGACATGTGAAGAATGATGGGGTAGGTGGTGCAGAGTACCCAAGCCTGTAATACATTCAAATCCAGCTCATGTGTTTGTACTGTCCTGTAGGTAGAGCCAGCACTTGCTTGCTGACAAAGTTCAAAGGTAGCCCAAGTACAACTTGCTTCTGAATGTCCCCTGCTTTTTAAGGAAGAATTTGTCTGTCCAATGTCAGCTCGCAGGGGTGCCTGTGGTATGTAGAAGTATCCCAAATAGGTGCTGCTTTCTACCTGATCCTTCTGTAATGCTGGTAGGTAATGTCTGTTCTTCATAAAGCTACAAGGAAATATCAGCCAGTAGCTATTGATGTGCAGGTGTTTCAGGACTTGAAGAGAAAATAGTTTGAGGACTACAGTCTAGATTGAAAAATATGAATTGCTTGCTTGCAGAGAAAAACAGATGTCAAGTAACAAAGCATGAGGTCTCATTTGACTTGCATGTGCTGGGATGCTGTGTCTTAATCGATTGCTGATAAATGGGACTCATGAGTAGAACTTTGATCTTAAAGACAGGATAAATGTAGAGAGAGTCAGTTTTGGAAGATGTGGCTATTAGCTTGATCAAATTACAGTTTGAAAATCGGTTAATAAATATAGAGGAGAAGGAAGGGAGGGAAAGGGCTTCTGAATTATTCATCATTTGTTTCTCGGTTTACAAGTTTACACAGAAATGAGATTCAAGTGGGAGTATAGAGAGTGTAATTTTATAATTACATATGAATTGAACAGATGTTTCCATATAATATCAAGATCTGCTTTCACAACTTGGCATTACCTACATCTGGACAAATCAAAAAAATCCAAGACTCAAAATTCAAATTCAGTTTAAGGTTATTTTTCACTCACGGCATCAGCAGGAGGAGCCTGCATCCTTCTTGCAACTTGCTTTAATGCTGTAACTGTCTATCTGCACTGCTATGTTACCACATGTTAGTGCAGGATGAAGGCATATTTATTTTTCTGGTGTAGATGAGGCATGCAACTAAGTTTTCAAGTATTGGTCTTTTCCACAACTGCAGAATGGAGAAGGTGGTGAATTTAATAAATGGTCATGTTTCCTACTTCTCAACTGTAGTAAAGATGGGAGCAAACTATTGTGGTTCAAGCAAAACTTACAAAGACCATTGGGTGTTTTCTTACGGAGATGCCTTCCTGAGGCCAGCAAGTAATTTGAAATCCATTGGCACTACCTGAACCTATTTCTGTGTATGAACTTGCCTCTGAGATCCAGACCTTGAGAGCATTCTGATAATAGTACAGAGCAATCAGTGACTCACAACTGATTGTAATGTCTCTTTGTTTATTTTCTTTAAATCAATGTTTTTGTAGTAGACAAATGAGAAGGAAACAAAATGATAGAAGGAGGTGGTATGGATGTGATATTTTCAGATCCAGCAAATCCATGCAGATATTAGCTAGCACTCCTAGTAGCTGACTCGTGTCCCCTCAGCAAACCCAGGTCAAAACACCTCAACATTCTCTTTTCTTACAGGCATCATGTCTTGAACTTTACAAATGGAAATGAAAAGGGGAGGAAAAGCATACTTTTGTTTTAAATAGGAAATGCAAGCTTTAAAATTTGCTGGCATTGTACAAATGATGCACTCAGAGTGTAGATATTTCAATGGACTGGTACTTTGTTTGAAATGAAGGAAATGTTAAGGAAGACTTAGCTTTTTTTGTTATAGAAGATATGGCTGTCTTTCTTAATACTGTTATATGCAAATATACACAGTTTACCTAAGATGTGATGTAATGATGTATAAACTATACTCTGAATAACTTTTGAAAGGGTTACAGAGCTCTTCTGAATTAACAAGGCAAAAACCTAATCCTGACTCTTATTTCTTATGGCTTTTCAGCTGTGATCAGAGCCCTGAGCAAGCTCAGATTCTGATACTGTCATTTTTCATTAGTAGGCTTAATATTCTTTTTTGTTAATAGTTGAATCTTTTCTACTGCTTTTCATAAAAAAAGCTTTTCCACAGATAGTGTGCTGGAAGGTTAATGTTTTAGTTGCTGATTTGGTATGATAGTTTATTTGAATCATAAATGAATTACAGGTTTGAAATGGAGCATCAAGTAAACTGAGAGGTTATACAAAGCAAGCTGGATGTTGACCCTGGGCTAGACTGCACCCTGATAGTTGAATGCATGACGTGTACCAAGCGATTTAATCTGCATAGGTTTTCGTTACACGTAAGTGTCTTTGACTAATGTAGCAGCCACATGTCTTAGCTGGGTTAATGTTCAAATTGTCATCACATAGAATTTGGACTCTTTTGCAGTGCTGAGAGTAGCGCTCCTGGAGGACCCAACCATTCTGCCTGCTGCTCTGTGCTGTACTATGGCAGAAAGCTTGAGGGCATCTAGCTTTTTACCTTCTTTTCCAGGTAGATGTATATGGCTGCGGTATTCCTCTTACAGTCACAAATGGCACCTGTTTCAGCCTTATACCTGTCTGATGGCATGAGCATATATGGGAAAAGTCTAGGTTTCATACAGTCATTGTTTTCTGATCAAGTTACCAATGAAATTTGTGCGTGGACTTTGTTGTGATGCCCATAGGAAAACTGCACATTGCAGAAGCCTGCTACCTCAGAAACTCACACAAACGGCTCAAAGTGCCGTGAGAGGATTGGGGTCAGGTTGTTGCTTCATAAATGTAAGTAAAGATTTCTCCTCATTCTTTTAACTGAATCACCAGGATATTTAAATCCAGTCCTGTCTTTCAGTGCTCAGTCTGTTTTGCTTTCTATCTGCATGTTCCCTACTAGACTATGTCCAAAGCTGTTCACTCTTCATTATTGCAGTGCCAGATTTTGGCATTTCTTTAATTTTCTCTGGAGAAAAAAAAAAAACTAAAAAAGCTTGGGAAGAAGTCATCTGTCCTTCTCTAAAGAAAACACAACATGAATATGAGATTTAATATTATTCTGAATTTGTCTGTTAGGAAAAAAATGTCCATCTGATTCCCAAATGTTACAATCCATTTTAGTTACCAAGTGATACTAGGAAGGCTGGAAGATATGACTGCATCTGTAATCTGCTCAGTTAATATAAAGGAGAGCAACGAAGAAGTAGAGTGTCATAACATATTTTCTCTCCTGCTGCTCATTTCCTGCTGTTGCTTTCTTTTTATTTTATAACTTTTTATGAAGTTTTCTTTCTTTCTTTTAAGTGCTCTTTCTGATATCTGTATGGGGAACAGTTCAATGTGAGAAACCAATAGTTCCAGCAGGTGATGAAACATTTGTATACTTCTGAAACTCTGTTGTACAAATCTGCCAGTCAAGTAGGAAAGATGTTTAATATTATCTTTCTTAAATAGGAGAAATGTCTGAGAATTTCCAAACCACCAGTTATTTCTGTATGTGCCCTTGTATGGGAACTGCTGAGTCATGGCCTGAACCTCTGATTAATCACCTGAGGCAAGCAATGAGTCAGCCCTGGGAGCACAGGTGAAAGCAATTCACCTGTGCTGCAGGAAGGGGTGGAGCCTGGCTCCACCTCTCCTAGACCCATTTAAGAGCTGACTACCACTGGGGAAGGATCTCTCTCTCTTCAGAAGATCTGCTCCACTGGTCTTTCCTGAGCGAGCCCACAACACGGGTAAGCATCCTATTTATTCTCTTTGTCTCGCTGTGCCTAACTCTCTTGCTTATTTCATTATTATAACATCTTAATATTATTTGATTATATAATATTTCTTTATATAATTTTCATTGATTATACAGCCCTGTAGGCTTTTTGCACTTATATCACCTAACTTTGAGTAGTCTCTTCTCAGGTGAGGAATTTAAAGGCAGGGAAATAGAAGAGCAAATACAGACTCCGGTACATGTTCTTATATACATCTCTTTGTTTTTTGTCGTTCCTGGTTACACTTTTTATCATGTTCTGTAGGGTTTTTAGAGGAATATGAGTCTGACAGCAGTGATTTTCATAACATAACTTTTATTGAGGGCCTTGCACACACGTTGCCCGGTTAACAGCCAGTGGGTGGCAGCCATTCAGTGTCTGAGTTCAGGGCACCAGGCCTCTTGTGCTGCTGTTGATGGTGATGCAGTAAGTTATAGGGCTCATACGGGTGGGCAGAAGTTTCTTCCACCACATCTTTTCCTGGGGGTCTCTAAGTGGTAGGAATCCTGAAATGCATTTCCACATCTGTGAACTGCTGGACATTCTCAGTGCTCTCTGGAGGGGTGGTGACTGGGGAAACAACATGCTTCAGGCGCAAAAGTATGGTGAAAAACAGTATGAGAAGGATAGCCAGAATTGTTAAGAATAATCCCACATAGACATAGAGGCCAGAATATTTATCTGCTGCTTTGTCTACTTCTGTAGCCAGAGTTGGAAAGTGAGCACGTCCAGTTAAGTTTCCATGGAATTTGAAATAAATCTCAGTCATTGCTGTCAACTTTGCTACATTTTCTCTATTTACTTCCATCTTGAATGTCTTACCTCACTGGTCTCAAAAAGTAGGTCTAAAGAAAAGGCTTAAGAGAGATGGTGATATGTCTTTTTTGTAAAATTCAGGAAGAACTGCTCTATCCTCTTGTCCTCAAACTGTTTCACAGAGTTAGTAGACTGCATGTAATAAGCCTTTGTAAATCATAGTTGCTATCATAATGATAACAAGCACTAGATTTGTATTTTACATGGCCACCAATCTTCTATTTTGTCCTCAAAATCCTTGGCTGCTGCTTCTAGTAGGCCACCTCCTTTGGTTCTTCTTCCAAATTGATCTGCAAGGGGTTGTATAATTTTGGACTTTGCAAGTGCTGTTTTCCAAAAAGAGCAAGTTTTCTGCTGGCTTTTCCAACAGCAGGTGGTTTATCCCTGCGTGAGATAGGGAAGGTTGAAGTCTACTGGGAAGCTTCTCTGTTAATCCAGGGTTACTGATGCTTGCTTGGAATATAGTGTTTCCAGTTTCTTGTAATGTATTGTCAAAAGTTGTCTGTCTAGAAGGAAAAATGAGAGAGAAATGAAACCAAGTTCAAAAATAGCCTAATCTGTATGTAATAGCTTTAGGTAAGAAATGAGTTTAATCCCTTGTCATGCTCCTGTGAACCACTTAGGCTCAGTGCTGCTTCTGATCTATTTAACTGGAGACTTGGGTAGAGAGGATCTTTATGAGGTTCAACAAGGGCAAGTGCAGAGTTCTACAACCATGGAGTAATAACTGCATATGCCAGTACAGGTTAAGGGCTGACCTGTTGGAAAGGAGATCTGTGGAGAAGGACCTGGATGTGCTGGTGGACAACAGGGTGGCCATGAGCCAGCAGTGTGTCCTAGTGACCAAGAAGGCCAAGGGTATCCTAGGGTACATCAAGAAAAGTGGCCACCAGGTCAAGGGAGGTGATTCTCCCTTGGAAGTGAGGTCACATCTGGAGTACCATGTCCAGTTCTGGGCTCACCAAATCAAGAATGTTCTCCACAGATTAACTTCTAGAGAGAGTTCAGTGGACAGCCACAATGATCATCAGGGGCCTGAAGCATCTTCCTAATGAGGAAAGGCTGAAAGTTTTGCGGCTGTTCAGCCTGGAAAAGAAAAGACTGAGTAGAGACCTTGTAAATATCTAATGGGCAGGAATCAAGTGCATGGGGCCAGGCTCTTTTCAGCGATGCCCAGTGACAGAACAAGGGGAAATGGGCACAAAGTGGAGCATGGGAAATTTCATACAAACATGAGGAAAGACTTCTTTACTTTGAGGATTACAAAGCACTGGAACAACCTGCCCAGAGAGGCTGTGGAGTCTCCTTCTCTGGAGATGTTCAAAACTTGCCTGGATGCCTTCCTGTGTAACCTACTCTAGGGAATCTGCTTTAACAAGGGGAGTTGGATGCCCTCCAGAGGTCTCTTCTGACCCCTATAATTACATGATTCTGTGAATCTTAGAGAAAGACCATGCAAGTCTAAATATCAGTCTCCTCTGATTCTTACTTATAGTTAAGAGAAGGCCTCATGGTCTATGGAATTAGGTATCTTAGAAGAAGGGAACAAGAATCCAGCCAGTGCTCTGGATTTTTTTGTTTTTTTGTTTGTTAGGACTCCTTGTTTCTGTTGCAGGGTATGCTTATACTTCCAGTATACCTTAGGTATGGTTGAAAAAAATTCCCCTGAAACTCTCTTGGGCATGTAACAACTGGGTTGTCAGGGTACCTATAAACAGCAACACCTGTTTTTGCTGTAATAACTGAAGTACAGCATTGGCATTGCATTTTTGTAGCAAGTCTTGCAAACCAAGGCAAATGAACTTCTTATGTACAGATCATAAATCTCCCCAGAAACCAAAGTTTGCAGTATGCACAGAAATCCTCACAGGCAAATGCAGGTAGCACTACTGTAAAAAAAAAAAAAAAAAAAAGGCTACTAGAAAGAAATTTTCAGTCCATCCAAGGCTAGAGCGTGTATAGAAATGTATAGAATATAGAAATGTTTGTTTTTCAAAATACTCAGTTTGCTGCTGAACAGCTTGGGAGAATTTTAGATTTGAAAACTTCAGTTAGGATGTAGTGGGAGTTGATTTGGGGTTTCCCTCCCACACATACTCCATTTTTATGAGTTCTCTGAGCAACTGACTTCAGGAGAAAAAGCAAACATTAATAATGCAGCCACAGCTCTATCAAATGGAATAAATTAAGACAGACTTCAGATTGCAGTAATTCCTAATTATAAGTGACTTTGGGTTCTTTAGAAAAAAATACTTGAGGTATATTACATGTATTCAGTTCTAGAAGAGAGTATTCCTAGTCCTTCAAGATTTTTGAGTACTTTGATTTACAGCCTCCAAAATAAAGTAACCAGTTCCTGTAATTTGCAGATGTTAGTATGTGTAAGCCTTCCCATTATGCTGCGAAGTTGTAAACATGAAAGGTGTCTATAAAAATGTCATTAGTTAGTAATATGGTGCTGATATGCTATTAAGGACTTGGTGACTATTTTAATATCTTTACCTGAACTGGAGGAGACATGCAACAGGTGTTGCAAATGTAAGAAACAGAAGACAGGGAAGCAGTTGGTCACACAAGTGGATTCACAGCTTAGATGGAGAGAGGCAGGGTGAAGTGTACTTTTTGGGCACACATGCCCTGACCAGGAACCCTCATGTTTCACGTGTCTAGAGGTCCCAGTGGATATGTCTGTGCTGAACCCTGAGGATGAGCTTGAGAACAGAAGCATACATTCTGGACTCCTGCAGCCCTTTTGTTTCTCAGTGATATGGGTACTGCAAGCAACCTCTCACAACCCTTGTGGGTCCTGTATTACTCTGCTCCCCACTGTACCAGTGACAGAGCAAGCAACTCCTAAGCATGCTTAAGCATCCAGAGATGCAGGCTTATGGACTTGTTTCGTTGTCTGGTCTTAGGGCAGCCTTGGGGCACCCCTCAAGGTCTCTAGCAGTGAGCAAAATGAAAAGTGAGAGATGTGTCTGCAAAACTCTTGCAGCCTTATTATATGGTCTGTGGCACTGACTTGAGTGGGTTTGGAGCTGAGGCAGAAGCACAGGACGTGAAGGTGAAGGTTGTATTATAACCAAGCACTTAAGATACATTGCCCTATAATTGCCTAACTGTTCTTCAGACATTAATGACATAAATGAAAAGTATTCCCCTATGAGGAATATTCTTATGACATAAAGCAGGTGGAAATTAATATGGCCAGAAACCTTCATATCATTTTAAGCCTTTGTATTTAAAGTAAGATTTCCTTGTTGATAATGAAATGTAGTCAGTCAATCTGAAATCTGATGCATGCATTAAAGCACAGAGCAATGCCCATCTCATCTACTATCTCAATAAGAGCAAAAGTCAGAGCTGGTTTCTCTACTTGAGCCATTAGACTCCCTCCTCCTTTATAAAATTACACTGCAGAATGCTAAGGATGTTAATCTTAAGTTGAATGATTAACTATAAGCCAAGACCTTGAATTGAGAAAGCTCTGCTAATTAATAAAAGGAGCAGACTAATAGTAGAAAGTATTAGCAGTAGGGACTTGGCATAGCTTTCATTTTTTGTAGTCTCAACTATAGAATTGTCAGGAGCAACCAACTACTCAGGCTATTGAAAGCTGTGAAATTAACTTCATTTTTTTTCAGAAATAATTCAGTAGCTCTAGGCAGCACCAAAGGTTTCTGCTGTTCAGTTTGTCAGTTATCTCAGTGAATGTATTTTTTTTGGATGTTAGTAAATTCAGCTGGAACTCCCTCATTTAACGAATGCAAACTTGAAGACTGTGGAGATCAAGGTAATGTGAAAGTAAATGGGCACACAAAGGTTCCACAAAACCTGTGTATAAAGCAGGTTAGTATTTATAACTGTGTAACTCATAATACTACAGACAAAACCTCCTGGCTAGCTAGCCTTTGAAGACCACCAGTAGGAGGACAAATTAAGTAGAGATTTATTAGAGAACAGAGCATCTTAAGTGGTGCCAAACTTCACTGTGATCTATGTTCTTCATCAGGGCTTTGTTGCTCTACTATGGCTGGACAATATTTCAATTTCTAAGGAGTGTCAAGCACTGTTAATGCTCACTAATGCTCAGTGGATACAGACTGATTCCAAACAGACACTTCCTTTTCATCACTTTGTGCTCATTTTTATGTAAGGATTAAAAACAAAAGCAGAACATTTCATTTAATAACAGAAAATGACAACAGCAAAGCAACAGTAATGAAAATATATGCCCCAAACAAAACACTAATAAGGTTTTTTTTCTTGGAGTATATCTTAACAAGAGAGCAAATCTGTGAGCCAAAACTTCATGAGTATTGTAATTACCACCCTTCTGCAGCTTCAGGAATTATTAAGATTTTCCCTGTTCTTAGGAAGCCTGCAGTGCCCCTTTGTAGGTCACAGAAAAGCTGAAAAAAAGATTTCACCCCCCCCNNNCCCCCCCCCCCCGCCCCTCAAACAATGCAGACAGACAACAGAAATTTGTTTTGCAACTCATGTCTTATCTCACTTATTTCCTTTTACTCCCAGATTGCTTTAAGTGTCACCTGCTAGCAAGGCATCTCTGAAAGTGTGGGCAACTTTAGAGTTCTTATGCTTTTCCAGCCAATACTAACACTATTGCAATGAGTAAAGTGGGACAGAAGAGAATGATTAGTCCAAAGCAGTTTAAAGTGCTCTGAGCTGTCTGACAAGCACAGAAACATTTCTTTTAGAACACAGACACTACCAGGTGTATTCTAGGTGACTTTTAGAGATAAGACAGTGTTGAAGAAATGCAAACAAAGCATTAAAGTATCAGTTCCATCCATGGCTTGCCTTTTCTCCAGGGAGTATCTGAGGGAGAGGAATAAGGGGAGTGTCTCTTATTTCAGTGGTGGTGTTTTTTGTTGTTATGCTGAAGTGCAAGACAGTATGGTAGTGTCTCAGCTGTGACAGTGCATAGGGAGAGAACAGAATAAAGCATAGTTACCTTTCAGAAGCAGGAGTTTGGGATTAGGCACTAGAGTAGCTGGTTCGGACCATGAGCTTGCTGGTGATGTATCAAGGAATATCTCCTCCTAGGTAGTGGGATTACTACAAAAAAGATTGGCTGTCTTACTGTTGGATTCAGGATAATGTCTTTTTAGTGCATTTGGCATATCTGTTGCTGTCTTCTCCTTTGCTCTTGAATTCGTGTGGTTTAATGTCAGGTATGGCTCTTATTCCAAGTCTTGATGTCAATTTACAATCTGACTCAACAGCATCAGAGCTGATGCTCTGCTCTTCGTAGGCAATAGGAAAAGAAGACAAGGAGATTTCTCCGTGTGCTTCGCTGCTTGGATGGAAACAGTGTAAGCCGGCAATTCCCTCCCTTAGCAGCAGTAGGCAACAGTCAGAGCGGAGAGGATTGCAGCACTCCAGTGCTGCTGCATCTTGGCTGCAGGCAAGGAAGGAAGGGAGGGAGGCTGCCAGCTCATCACACAGCAAAGTTTGTGCAAGGTTC